ACTCTCAAATTCTAATAACTTGATCAAGCTTATGCAAGAGAATTAAAAATAGAATTAATTAAATTATAAATTTTTTATATATATTTTTGAAAAATTTAATGCATTCAAAAAATTATTTTATTAGTTTTTTGAAATTAATAAAAAAATAAAATATTTATACAAAAATTCTTAGTAAATATGTATTAAACTAATTGAACTAATTAGATATTATATTTGTACACATTTTTCTATTCTAAAATAATTTTTAGATTTGATTATAAATAAAATTTATTAAAATAATATTAAACTATAACATATGTATAATTTTAATTTTTTTTATAATTTATAGTCAAATTTATATTTTTAAATTACTTTTCTATAAAATAAGTATTTTTCAAATGATTTTGATCTTCAAGTAATTTCGTTTTTCAAGTGATATAAGAATTTTGATTTTGATTAAGAAAGATTTTTTTAAAAAACTAGAAAATCACTCAAAGATAATATAATATTAAACTAGAATAGCTATTGCCAAAGAGTAGAAGATTAAAAAGTCTCAAAACAAGACTAAGAACTAAAAAGATATTGACAAAAATAAACAAGGCTTCACTCTTGCCTCTATATATACTATCTAATTAAGAACTAAGTAGCAACATTCTATAAGACCTCCAATATATGTCCAATTTCCAAGACACATGGCTTAACTTATAAGCCAAGTTTCCTATATGTGTGCCACATTGTTAGCTTATATCACAAGCTATCCACACATATGACACATGGCTAATTTGTTGGCCAAGTTTCAAGCCTATCAAATAACTATAAACATGTATAAAGTCAAATATGCATCTATAAAGCTTCTAAGAAGCTTTGTTATAAGATAATATCAAATCTACCTATATTTACTTTATACCTAGTATTTTTTATTTAGATAAATATATATATGTTTGTAACAACAATAACAAAAGTTTTATTAAATAATATAAAGAGCATAAAAGATATGTTATGCTTTGCTGAATGCATTTAAAGTTGTGATGATAGCTGTACAACTTCTTGCAATATTTTAGAATAATTCAAAGTTGAATCAAATCTATGAGATTTAAAAGTTTTAAAAATATTAAAATTATTATTGATTATAGGCAAAACCATCTTAAATTTTGACAATATAAAGAACTAAAGTCAAATTGAAGATGTTGTATATAAAAATGATATTTTTTCTACTAATGATAGTACATTAGTTACAAAAAATTAAGATATAAAAGCTAAAAATAATTTTAGTAAAGAAGGTTTTAAGATTAATAATCAAGAATTAGAAAAAAAACAAAAAAATAAATAAAAACAAAAACAAAGCAAGATTCCTATATGTACATTGTATAGCCAAAGTAGATAAATAAAAAAGAAAAAATAAAGTAGATCAATAAAAATAATATTGTACGCATCTTTAGATGAAAGTAAAGAGTAGAATCTAACAAAATTACCTAAACAAACTATAGATTGATATTTGGAGAGGCCTAATTGTGAACCAAAGTTGAAACAAGACCCCAAGGTATAAAATTGCACATCCATAGAAATTGTAGGATTTTTTGGTTGATTATAGAGCAAACTTAAAGAGCAAACTACATAAGATTTATTTGAGCATTAGTTTTGAGTGATTAAGTGGATATTGACTTTGTGAGGGTTTACAAAGTCAAGGTTGTTTTTTGTAATTTCAAATTTGGAGAGGAAAATATATATACATATATATATATATATATATACAAAAAAAATTGTGAATATTATAGCACATTGAGTATAAAATAGACATAAAATTATTCTAAATATATTTTTGATTTATTATAATTAGAAGTGAAAAATCTTTAAGATACTTAATTAAACATAATTACCATGGTATGTTACATCCTTGATTTAATTAAAAATAGATTCAAAATTTTAATATTTATATACATATATACAAATATACATACAAATTAAGAATTGTCAATTTGAGATTACAAAAAATAAAATAAAGAAATAATATATTTAGAAAATTAAAAAGTATTACAATAATGTGATTTTATTTTTATTTTTATTTTTAAAAGAATAAAAATATTGATACTATTAACTTTTTAATTCTAATAAATATACTAAAAATTATTTTTTATTAAAAAAAGAGAATTATAGAAATAAAAAAATAAAAAAATAAAAAATCAGAAAATATAATGACATGTGTTATTATGTTATAAATTTAAATTTAAAATACTAAATTAAACATACTTATTTTTAAAAAATTGATTTATTTACCATTTATAACAAATGTAATCAATCAAGTTAAAAATAGAAGAATCGTAAATAAAGAATTGGGTGCAAACAGGGGGTGAAGCTGATTCATAGAAGAGAATTCTGAAGAAACTGAGAGGTCTGTATGTAACCAATCTAATAAATATAAATATATATATATATATATATATAACTTCAAAATCTATTATGTTTTATCCAAAATACTGTTGCAAAAAAATAGAAAACCATATAATAAATCAGATATATTAGGAAAACTAAGTCATATTTGTGATACATATTTTAACAATCCTGTAAACACTCTATATGGTGAAAATGTAAAATTTATAAAACTTCTGATTTTTTGCCTCTTTCCATGCATGGATATATTTTATTAACTGAAAATATTTAAGATTTATTATAAAATTATCAAATAAATTAATTTGGGTATTCTTTAAACAACTAAAAATTATGTATAAATAAAGAAAAATGATCACATACAATACAATTCATCAATGGTTTTAAAGACTTGATGTATCATTAATATTCAGAATCTTATGTTCTGTTATTTTAAAAAAGAAAATGAGCAAAC